GGGAACACCAGGGAACACTAGGCACTGAGGGGGAACAGCTGCGGGAACACCAGGGAACACTAGGCACTGAGGGGGAACAGCTGCGGGAACACCAGGGAACACTAGGCACTGAGGGGGAACAGCTGCGGGAACACCAGGGAACACAAGCTCTATTGAGGCTGCAAATCATTTCTTGCCCAACATAGAACATTTCGTATATAACTGCACACAAGATTACAAGATGGACTATTATCCTGATGAATCAAGGTCGAGAGTTCAACAGCTGATATCAACCTCTGTGGTCCGTATGTGGTGGATACGTGCATCGTATCCCCGACGTGCCCGGTAACGTACCCCGTGCCCCCGACGTACCCAGTAACGTACCCCATGCCCCCGACGTACCCTGTAACGTACCCCATGCCCCCGACGTACCCAGTAACTGTCTCTTATACACATCTAGATGTGTATAAGAGACAGGTGATGTGCATGACGCATTGAAGTTTTTTAAGTGCCGTTGTCGGAAGTCCGTAGAGTCTGGCATTGTCGTAGCCCACGAGAGACTGAAGAACTGGCCCCGCAAGACAGCGACTGACGCTACGAATTCGCCGCAGAGCGCCGAAACAAGCGGTGGTGACTTTGGCAATGTGACTGTTAATTGAAGGTTCCGAGTCCAGCTGAATGCCGATGTTGCGAACCGAGGACGCAGGCATTACGAACTCATTGCTCAGACCGACAGCATTAGCAGGAAGCTGATGCTGGAACCCAGCAGTCAAAAACCAAATAAATTCGTTTTTTTCACCAAACCAAAATAAATTCGTTTTCGTTCATTAAGCCTGAGCCGGCTGGAAAGCAGCCAGTCTGAGAGCAGCCAGTCTGTGTCCATGCAGACAGATATATGGTCCTGCAACGCTGCAGTGTCAGCCGGCACACAGTAACCATAAATTTGGTCAACCACCACCCATCACCCGCCACCCACCACCCGCCACCACCNTTCTTTGATAAATATTATGGTGTAAGTCAACATTGTTTTGACTTTTCGTCTTAGTTGTATCTGTCTTTTAGGTATTAGGTTGTTATTGGCTTTGTTATATTCATTTTTAGTCGCCAAGTTGCTTGTTCTTATATCAGTTTTATTAAGGGTTAGTTTATAAGGATCTTCTTACTTTGGGCACTTTCTGTTTCCTATTGACTTATCTCAGTTTCATTACGTTATTGTTCTATTGAGAGTAATTTCGCCTATGTCGCCTGTGAAGCTTTTTAGCTTATATAGGCATTCACAAGGAAGCAATTTGTATTTTTTCTTCAAATTTGTATGGTCTCTTGTTATGTATATTTTTGTGTGCTCCTCTGTGAATAAACAATAAACAATAAACAATCCAATTATTAAAGCTGAGGTCATTTAAAAGTTGTTATGAAATTGCTTTCAGGAAAATGCTTGCTAATGCTTTTTTTTAATACAAGATATTTGGTTTGGCGAACCTAAGATGGCTAAAATAGCTTAGTCCGAATATGCTCCCTGCATGCATAGCTAGTACGACGAATGAGTAAAGCATATTAAAATATTTATAAATCTTTGTTATTGCTGCGTAAAATATTTTAGTTAGTCGTATAACAGAACAGTTATAACAGTACTGAGCCATTACCTCAACCAATATTCTACGGTCAATTTCTAAACACGAACAATGTTTCTGAGAGTGACGCTTCTAGTAATGGAGTTCGAAAATCTAAGAGAATTACGTTTTACTTTTGTAATGTTGTTTGATGAACTGCACGTGTACGTGATAAATTCTTAGCCGACCGATATAGAATTAACGTTGGTAATAAAATTCACTGAATTTAATTGTTTCATTGAATACGTAACATTAAAATTCATTGAAAACGTGTTTTGAATGAATTTTATTAACTCAAGATGAGTCAGCATCATGCTGCATGCTGACCTCAATATCCTGGCCAGGTTGGCCGTAATGTCAGCATCATGCTGCATGCTGACCTCAATATCCTGGCCAGGTTGGCCGTAATGTCAGCATCGTGCTGGAAGGCTGCCAGCAGACGACACGCCTGCTGCACGGTGTTCGCCTGCAGCAGCTGCGGGTAGGCGCGCTCGCTGCTGCTCACGTGGCGCAGCGTCGCCGTCAGCTGCACGAGCGCGTAGCCCGTCTGCTGCGGCACCGACCCACGCTCCTCCATCTGAGGTATGGGGCATACCTCAGTAATAAGGTATGAGTCATACCTCAGTAATAATGTTGAGGTATGAGTCTTATATCAGTCATAAGGTTGAGGTATAAGTCTTACCATCGTTATCATAGCCAACATACGTTATTAAATAGATACTATGTGTGAATATGATATTATTGAGAGTAAAACAACCTACATGGGAAAAATTGGCGCAACTGATAAAACATTATTATGAATTTAAGACTTTTGTTAAACAGACAGAATACATGCTGGCTATCTTGCTTTAACACGATACTGAGCCATCTGTGACCATCTGCCTTGTATTTTGTTGGCAGTGGCACTATATAGCCAGAGGTGGGCAGTAGCGCGCTACATTTTCAGTAGCGGTAGCGGCGCTATATTTAAGCAATTGTAGCGGTAGCGGTAGCGCCCGTTACATTTAAGCAATTGTAGCGGTAGCGGTAGCGCCCGCTACATTTAGAGCATGTAGCGGTAGCGGTAGCGGCCGCTACATTTCAAAGTAGCGCTGCCCAGCTCTGTATATAGCTGCGCTAGACCAAAGGGGAGAACCCTTTGGTCTTGGTTCACGAAGAACACTTCGGTTCAGAACTAAACTCTATACAAAGTGATCATCGTCCTCAGCGGAGCGAAGCTACCATATAAATTTGTGGCATAGCAGCTGAACAAGAAATACGTGATATCTGGCAGATCTTATTAACTAAGTTACTAACACACCTCATTAACCATGTTGTTGACTTATTTCATTAATGATGATATTAACACACCTCATTAAAGATGATACTAACACACCTCATTAACCATGTTGTTGACTTACTTCATTAACGACGACATTTACACACCTAATTAACGACGATATAAACACACCTCATTAACGACAATACCAACACACCTCATTAACCATATAACTATCACACCTCATTAACGACAATACCAACACACCTCATTAACGACAATACCAACACACCTCATTAACGATGATATTAACACACCTCATTAACGACAATACCAACACACCTCATTAACGATGATATTAACACACCTCATTAAAGACAATACCAACACACCTCATTAACGACAACACCAACACACCTCATTAACAATGATCATCATGTGCAGAGTAAGGAGCTCGATGACGCCCCTCGCCAGGAGTCTGGTGCAGAGGGCGCTGTTCATCGTCAGGAACTTGAGGGCGCCGTAGCCATACACCGCAGCCTCCGCGCTCTGCACGCAACAGGGGCCATACTTTCAAAACTCGCCAAGTGAACGTAAGTACTTACGTGAACGTAAGTACTTACGTGAACGNTCTGTTTTTAGCGCATTTTCTCATTTATGGAAAAAATGCACTATTGTGCTCGCCATGTCCGTCTGTCTGTCCGTCTGTCCGTCCGTCCGTGACCTCAAGTTTTCGTCGACGAGAAAATGCTCTCTCTGTCACTCACTGCAGTGAGTACTGAGTTATGTTTTTAATGTAATGCCGTCAATCGGTTGAGGTTTAAAGTTCTAGTAACGGATAACTAATGCTACTACTAGTCTGTCCTGCCTCACTTGCTGACGGCCCGACTTCGCGTAAATACTCTATTGGGACTCAAACTCACTATGATTAATATTTGATAAAGGGAAACTGCTGCTTGTACAAGTGAGTTAATACTGCACGAAACTATTGTATTAGTTTGCACACAAGTTATTACTCGTGCAAAACTGCTCCTATACTAGGTAGACAAAGAAGCTCTCATGCGCAATCATCCATAGCCGTCGTGTCTCGCTGTTATAGATGTCTCACGGCCATGTCTGGCCGTAGATTGTTTTATAACGACCGTACTTCTAAAATCTAAACAGTGGCGAATTTTTCCTCGTCGATGATATCACTCCAAGCTCATTGATTGAGGTGCTGCTGCTGTTAGTGATCTCAACTAGAGGCATGCGTAGCGAGTAGGCAACTAGAGGCATGCATAGTGTGCCGACAACTAGAGGCATGTTAGTGTGCAGGCAACTAGAGGCATGTACGTGTAGTGTGCAGTAAACTAGAGGCATGTTAGTGTGCAGGCAACTAGAGGCATGCGTAGTGTGCATACAACTAGAGGCATGCATAGTGTGCATACAACTAGAGGCATCTTAGTGTGTAGGCAACTAGAGGCATGCGTAGTGTGTAGGCAACTAGAGGCATGCGTAGTGTGTAGGCAACTAGAGGCATGTGTAATGTGCAGTAAACTAGAGGCATGTGTAGTGTGCAGACAACTAGAGGCATGTGTAGTGTGCAGTAAACTAGAGGCATGCGTAGTGTGCATACAACTAGAGGCATGTGTAGTGTGTAGGCAACTAGAGGCATGTGTAGTGTGCATACAACTAGAGGCATGCATAGTGTGCATACAACTAGTGGCATGCGTAGTGTGTAGGCAACTAGAGGCATGCGTAACGAGTAGGAACTTCACCTCAAGAGGAGACAGGCGTCCCACGGCCTCCAGCAGGAGCCCCAGCAGAGGACCTGTCAGGAAAAGTTCGTCGTTGCCGGCGTCTCGAGTCACTTTGAAGACGAGCTTCATCACCGACGTCAGGTTGTTGCCGCTCACTCGTAGCTGTCAACATCACGTTAAAACTTTAAGATGATTGATATATGTATTAAAATCACTTGGCTGCTTAAGTCGCAAATTTACCAGGAATTTAAAAGTAAAGAAAATAGCCGAAAGGACTCCGAAACGTTTTCGCTTATAAGAAATGGTGGACCTTTTGGCTATTTTCTTTACTTTTAAATTCCTGGTGATTGATATATGCTATTAGTATACATGAGTTTATGTTTAAAATATCTCGAGATTTCCATTCTTCTTCTACGAAGCAGTATCCTTGATGATATAGAAATTAAATCTATTATTTTACAGGTTATAAAACAATTTTATTTATACAACATACACATCAATAATGGCCTTCCAGTCGAACTTCGAGTCGAACACTAATGGTTAACGTTTACATTGCAAATTAATAGATGAGAAACAATTTTGTTTATGTTTTAAAATAAAATATATACGCATGATAAATTTTGAGAACTATAACGCGGTCATGGATCTTCCAAATCGTACATATACAAGTTTGTAGGCAACGTGTCAGCTGACGCGGTATGTAATGGAGTTACGAGGCAATAACTAATCGAGACGAGCGAAGGACCACATGAAGGACCTAAGTGGCAGGGTGGCCCAGTGGTTAAAGTTCTGAGTACCAAGATTGGCGCAGAGAGGCGCGGGTTCGATCCCAGCTCTGTGCGCCAGTTTCTGGTCAGAATCGGCAAGGAGGCCGGGCGGTTAAGAACAGCAGAATTGTGGCAGTGAGTTGCGAGTTCGAGACCGCAAAATGCTGTGAATGTTCTGCGATGTTAAGAATCGGCGACAGGTCTACGTCCTACTAAACGCTGAAACCGCTATTATTGTTAATATGTTCCTTCCGCCAGGCAATATGTAGCCGCGCCTCATGCGTCTCTAATTTTTGTACCGCGATTTTCCTTTTAATTTTTTTTGCGATCATCCAACAGTTATATGTTATATTTGTTTTGTTAAATTTTTACTAATTTCATTTCACAGCATCTCTGTGGTGCTGCTGTGTAGCTGTATGCCAGCGCTGCCAGCATGCCACACTCACTGCCAGCATGCCACACTCACTGCCAGCATGCCACACTCACTGCCAGCATGACGCGTGCCAGCGCTGCCAGCAGGCCCCCGTGCTCGCGGTCCACGAGCCTGAAGACGACGCGCAGGATGGAACTGCGATGGAGCGCCTGGCGCCCCACCAGCTGCTGCTCCACCAGCTGTCCGTACAGCTTCTCCACCAGCTCCCCCAGCACCGCCTCACTCACTCCTGCACGCGGCCATGAACTGGTAAGGGGTGCGTCGTTGCGGGACGTTTGAGAGGGGTTAAGGGGTGCGTCGTTGCGAGACGTTTGAGAGGGGGGTTAAGGGGTGCGTCGTTGCGGGACGTTTGAGGTGGGGTTAAGGGGTGCGTCGTTGCGGGACGTTTGAGGTGGGGTTAAGGGGTGCGTCGTTGCGGGACGTTTGAGGTGGGGTTAAGGGGTGCGTCGTTGCGGGACGTTTGAGGTGGGGTTAAGGGGTGCGTCGTTGCGGGACGTTTGAGGTGGGGTTAAGGGGTGCGTCGTTGCGGGACGTTTGAGGTGGGGTTAAGGGGTGCGTCGTTGCGGGACGTTTGAGAGGGGGTTAAGGGGTGCGTCATTGCGGGACGTTTGAGATGAGAGAAATTGTAATGAACATTTCTGAGCTAATGTAATTGGTAGCAGATAAGGCGTTGTGAAAAAATCACAAAGATGTCTCGAACGACGTTAATGAGGTAGGCGATGATGCTATAGGATGACGCTAGGAAGTACGTTAGCAACGCAAAACAGAACTCAGCGGTTGCAGGGAGGAAAAACACGACAAATTACAGAGCACCAAGGTGGTTGGGCTCTGAAAATATGGCTGCACTCTACATTCACTATACGTATACCCTGCGATCTCACCATTACGTGACACTCAACTCACAGGGCGGCTACACTCACCACTGGCCACGGCTCGCGTGATTTCGTCGAGCACGGGGGCGATTTTCTGCTCGAAGATCAGTGCCTGCTCCTCTTCGCTCCTCTCGCGTAGCTGCCCGTCTCCCTTTTGTTCGACACCCACTTGCTCTAATCTTCCTGGCATGATGCCCCCCGGCTCGGCGCGCCCCGGCTCGGCGTTGCTCTTGAGACTGTCGGCTGCCCATGACGGCAGCTTTGTGCGGGGAGAAGTGGAGGCCTCGCGGGGATCAGTAAGCTGAGGCATGGGAACGAAATATTGAGCAAATGTTGATCCCTCTAGAGGTGTCAACATTTGCTGCCTGCATTTCCACTACAAGGTTCAAGGGTTGGAGTTTCAGGTCTATTGGCGAGGTACTTGTCAGAGGTTGGATTTTTATGTTTACTGAACAGACAGGTGTCAAGAGTTGGAGTTTCAGGTATGGTGTCCAGACAGAGGCAAATGGTTGGAGTACTGAGCAGACAAGTGTCAGGGGTTAGTGTTTCAGGTATGGTGTCGAAACAGGTGTACAGCCTTGGAGTTATAGGTGTATTGAACAGACGCATGTCAAGGGGTGGAGTTTCAGGCATCGTGACCAGTCAGGTGTCAAGGGTAGGAGTTATAGATATATTGATTAGACTGTTGTCCAGGGTTAGAGTTTCCGGTACAGGCCGAGGTAAGGAGTGACAGGTGATGTGAGTCCTACAATTAAGGAGCCAAAGATAGATTCTTCCTCGTAACGGTCTGCAAAGAAGGGTCTAATAGCGTGAATGCACAATAAGGATTCACTATATGAAAGACCTCCAAGGAAAGAATACTATTAAAGCAAGAGAGTTCAAGATAAATGCCAGTAGAAGAAAGTTGCTACATAGGAGCATGTAGAGAGAGATATCCATTGAGTATTATTTATACATGAAGGTATACTTGGATAGGACCTGTCAATCTCTTATCTTTCAGACGTGAGATATCACAATTGCTTCCAATCTTAAGTCACTTGCGGCCTCGTCCAATGCTGTCATAGCCTCACAAAGGAATGTACTTGCACGCGCATGAGAGCTTATCATATTATATGATATTTTAAATGAAATACATTTAAAAATATTTTATGTTAATGATATTTAGTAAGATGACTCACGAGGGCGTCTGGCGGCAGCGAAGTGTACGTGGACGCGTCGGTGGCCTCAAGGGGCGCCGGCAGCGACGTCTTCCTGATGGGGTGCAGCTGCGGCACAGCCTTCTTCAGGGGCCGGTCCTTGAGCAGCGTCCTGAGGGCGGCGTCCTCCAGCGTGCAGTCCAGGTCATAGACGGTGACCTCCTCTAGTGGCTCCTGCTGGGGAGGTGATG